CACGACCGCGTGGCAGCAGGGAAAATGGCCGCGGATCCGGGTCGTAAGTAGAGACAAGTTCCTAAGTAGGGGTAAATTTTTGGGGCCGGAGCTGGTCGTATCTCGAAAATTTCGTAAGCAGGGGCATTCGTAAGTAGAGGTACCACTGTATTTCTAACTGCACTCTAATTTTTTTTTCAGATCTACCTTTACCACAAGTGGTATAAGAGCGTAAGGTTCTGTCCCAGTGTCTGGAGGCTGGATGGGTTTCGATGGGGAGGAACCGTCTCTGACTCAATCCTACCAAGACTGAGTGACTGAGTGGCTCTATATTCCCTCTTTCTATCTTGGATGGGGTTGCACTTCCCTTTTCAAGGTTGGTACACAATCTGGGGGTCTTCCTGAATTTGCAGCTCCTGCTTGAAGGACAGGTGTTAGCTGCAGCCAGGAAGCTCTTTGCACAAACCCATCTGGTGTGCCAGTTGTGTCCTTTCCTAGATCGAGGGGCCCTTTAGACAGTCATTCACACCCTAGTCACCTCGCAGCTTGACTACTGCAATGCTTTTCACATGGGGCTGCCCTTGAAGACCACCCAGAAGCTTCAACCGATCCAGAATGTGGCAGCACAAACATAATGGACATGGCTTGGTATTCCCATAAAACACCTCTGCTTTATGAGCTGCACTGGTTGCCAGTTTGCTTCCAGATGCAATTCAAGGTGCTGGTTGTTACCTATAAAGCTCTACAAGGCATAGGGCCTGGTTACTTGAGGGACCACCTGTCTCCCATAACATCTCCCTGGCCAATTTAATCCTGCCGGGTTGGTGCACACTGGGTTCCTTCAATTAAAGTTCATCTATCGGGACCCTGGAAGTGCATCTTCTCTGTAGCAGCATCTGCCATCGGGAATGAGGCTCCCCCCCTGAGATCCGGATGGCCCCCACTCTGCTCTTATTAAGAAGAGCCATGAAAACCTGGCTCTTCACCCAGGCCTTCAGCAATGGAAAGGGAAGGGTTGCACACCCAGCTCCTAAACAGCCCCTATAAATAGCCATACCTAGACTATTCCAGTGCCAAGCCATTGTTTGGAGTGACATTGCTAACAGCATTTTGGTCAATTCACATATTTAGCAGCCTATCAGGAATTCAGTTTTGTCCAAAGAAAGCAGCATTTCATGTTTCTCTTACAAGGCAACAGTGGCTATCTAACTCTTTCGAGTATTGTTGGTTTCTTCCTAAAGAGTTAATCTACATGCATGCAGGCCCCTTCTGAATGCAGCTTCCCAGCCACCTAGCTTCAGAAACACGTGTTGTTTGCAGAGTCATTTCTCAACACATACATTAAGAAGCTTAATTGTACACATTTATCACTGTTTAAAAGCAAACATAAAATAGAATTCTGTACAACTCTATATATACACTAAATGTAAGATAATATAAAGTAGGATGGAGCTCCCCACAAGCCCTGCTGTGCTGCCTTATTGTGGCGGGGTGGGAGAGTTCCTGAGAGGGATGAGCAAAGAATGTTGGGAGTGTATGCCAAGAGTATATATTCTCAGCAGGCTCACCCGAGGCACGGTCATCCCAGGTGCCCAGCTAAAGCAAGGCACCTATGGACAGATCTTCATGGAGAAAATCTATCTATGTGGCTGCTAAGAGTTGACAACGACTTGATGGAACGTAATCATAATCATCATCAGGATGCAGCTGTTCTATGCCTGGATGGAAAACTACTTGGGAACCCCTGTAAGCCAATGTGACTTTATTAGAAAACAAGATGCAAGAGAAGATCAATATACCTAGCACTGTCTGTTCTATATAATTTAATCCTGTTTCTTTATGTCCCATCTGTCTTCCAGGAGCTCATGGAGCACATACAACACTCTCTCCTCCACTTTTCTCCCAACAACCATCCTGTGAGATAGGTTGGGCTGATAGTGACTGGCCCAAAGTCATAGCTGAAGGGGGACATGAACCTGGATCTCCCTAGTCTTAGTCTAAGACCTTAACCAAAATATCACATTGTCATAGTTCTGTAGATATGGTACCATCTTTTATTGAACAAATAACAGGAGGAGATAAGATTGTTCATGTATTTTTACCCTAGTTCAATCCACATTTATGACTGTGAGCAAATCAGCCCTTAGATAATTCAAACGGTAATCAGTGCCCTGTCTTTGTTGTCACCAAATTAAGATTTTAATAATCTTAATTTAATTAAGAAAAGGAGACCCTATATATAATTCCAATGTAGTTTATTAAAAAAACCACCCAGTTTTGACTGTTTAAAAAGGCCCGAACAATGTTTGCTTCCAAAGTCTGAATACTGTTACTATAAAAGCTGCCTGATGGGCAATTACCCACACTGATAGCAACAATTCTTCATTGTCCATCTGAATTCTTACAGCAAAATTACAGAGTTAAATACTGATCAAAAAAGATTCAACGGTGTCCGTACGTTTGATTTTGATTAATTATACATATAATATTGCATTTAATTTTTGTATAAAAATTGAAAAAATGTTCTTCATAAAATATTTTGACATTTTCCACAAATGTATACTATTTTGTTTTTCACTTAAACTTGAATATAAAATATACTAGTCTTTTACTAAGCACTAACAAATTAAAAAAAAAAAGATGTCCACTAACAAGTACTTTTAGCCATCATCACAAAAATTATTCTTAAAGCATTAAAGGGTATACAAATTTACACTGGCTTTTGAAAGATATTATACAAAACAGCAGAATGAGAAGAATGTTGAAAAACCTGAAGTATAAAAGGAAGCCATACCACCATTTTTATTTCTTCTTCCCTTTGGAAGGCTTAACAAACAAAGCAGGATCAATCTGATCTCTAGATAGACCTCTCACTGAAAAAAGTCGTTCTGCTCTTTCGTGTAGGGTACCTCCACATTTTAGTCCCAAAGCCAACAGTTCAAACTTTAGGTTGTCTAGCCCTAAGGCTTCCAGTTCCGCAACAGAATTGAATTCCAGCAGATTGATTCTTGAAGTACCCTAAGAATCAGAAACATACAATATTTCAAATGTGTATCTCAGAAAAGCCAAGTTATCTTTTGAACAAAAGCTAAATTAAATGTTAGTGATTCTGCAATGTCCAGTTCTGCAATAGGATGGCTTTTGGGGGCTTCTGTATGCCTTCTTTCCTTTTTAAAGGTTTATGAATTAAAATATTCTTGCACATGGGGCTAAATAGCAAAGACAATTAAATTAGTTCTTGTTACTGATACAGTAGTCAATTTATTTCTCCATTTTTAGAGACTGGAAAAAAACCTCCAACGATGAATGGCTCAATGGCTGCAAAATGCCATCTATATGTTGAAGAAAGAGAGAAGACTGGGGGATGAAGAGGAAATGGGGTTGTTTAAATTTTGAATAGTATTACTTGTACTTTGATCTGGCTTCCATGCTACTTTGTCTTTGGTATAATATTGTAAGTGACATGGATAATGAACTGACAAGAATGGAATGAAGTTTTCAAAATGCACTATTTATAAAGATATCCAGTGGATTCAGGCAGAGAAAGAATCACATACTTAATCAAAAATAACCATACTTACTGCATGCTGAAATTGACTCGCAGCTTTTTCAGTACTTGAGACATTTGCATGCTTTTCTTCCTTCAGAATCTGTGGTGTTTTATGTTTCTCACTGGCTACAATTGTATTGAAAGCTGGATCTTCTAGTAGATCTTTTTTATTCTTTGTTTGATCTTCTGACTTCTCATCAGAGCCTGAACTGCAGCTTACAGAATCCTCTGAATTCCTGGGAAACTCATTTAAATTGTCGGTCACACTGATATGGCTGTCAGATGTTGTGGAGCATCTTCCTGACATACTAGGAGATTCATCTTCATCATCATCACTATTATCCTCTGAACTGTCAGGATCTTCCAACCCTTCTATACCTAACCTGTCACAATTAACAAGTTCATTTTAAAACATGAATATAATTTCCACAATGAAACAGAATCTGAGATATGAAAAAATGTATCTGCCCCATAATTTTGTAGGGCACACAAATTCCAACACCAAAAATACATGTAAAACCAATAGTGGTGAAGCTCTTGAATTATATGGAATTTTAAAATGTTTTAAAATCAAGATAAAGCATTCTGCCTGACAGAAGACTATCAATAGACTGTTTTCAATAATTCCAATATTGAAATGAGTGTTTCTAGGCAGTATACCAGTAGAACATTTTATCCTGATTTTTTAACACAAATTTTATTTTATTTTTTATTTATTTATATTTCAAATTTGTCACCACCCATCTCACTACAGAGTGACACAATAATTTACCTTCTAATTTCCTTACAATACATTGCATCAACAGAAAAAAAGTAAATGTACTAAACAGTTATGGAAGACAGCTATAATATAGTTATTGCCTCGATTCCAATAACATAGGCTAGCAAGCAGAGGAGGCCAGAAAATCCCATTCCACAAGCAGAAAACCACTTAGAATTCTTAGGACAAGAGCCACCAACTTTAAGGTAAGAAACATTTTTTTTCTTGCCATTTTTATCACATGGTGTTATTTCTTAAACTGTGGTGCTTACCAGAAACACCTTTTCTTCTCTGGTGGTGCTCCTTTTCCAGAGTCAGTGGTCCATTTTCGACTCTCACTGCTTTCTGGGGACACCACTGTGCTGGAAGAAGCTTGCATACCTGAAAACAGTAAAAGCATTCAACCTTTAGGATGTTAAATGAAATATGGACATTAAATCATTTAAGCCAAGAATTTAAGGAAAAGTTGAACTTTTAATTTTTGCTTCATTCCTGAGATGCAGCTTATCTTTCACTTCTGTCCTTTTGCTCAATTTATTATTAATCATTCACACAGCTAACTGCATAATGCAAACATGAGTGAGGGAAGTGAGGGGGGGTTCCTCCACTATATTATTCGAGGAAGCTGCATTTTCTACCGCTGCTTTTCATGGCAAAGGTCAGTAAGTCTTTTTCATTGTTGTAATCCAATATCTATGGAGAATGCCAGACTGGGCAAATTGCTTTAATATGGAAGCAGATGATACTGAAACAGGCAAGCTAACTGCATTGTTAAGTACTCAGAAGCAGAGAGAACAAGAGGCCAGAGCCTGAAAACAAAAGGAGAAAAATACAGAAGATATTCAATATCTACCAGGTTATCTTATTCATGAGACATTTAATTAAAAATATCTAAGAGCCCAACCATCCAAAAGTGCAAGGCAGGATAGAGACTAAATCACTTTAGTGCTACCTTTCAGGACAGAATCTTCAAGTCTCTCTGCCATTTCATGGCACTGCTGCTGGTAATCTGGGTTAGTGAAAAAGTGCTTCGGTTCAGCCAACTTTCGCTTCAGCCTTTCTAAACGCCTTTGTTCCTTGTCTGCTTCCCGTTCTGCTTGTTGTTTCACCCACTCAGCCATCCTGTAAGAAAGAAAAATCCATATTAAATTGGATCTATTTCAATGGGTGAATTCAGCTATGGATGCCAAAACAAAGAAACCCCAAACAGAACAGCACAATGGGTGAAGTTATCTGTCTTTGGAACACCCTTACTGCTGAAGCTTGACAGGTTACAATATGAATACTTTGGCACCAAGTTATTTGCCCATGTATTTAAAAGTAATGTACAGGCTTCTTTTGTTCTGTTGCGTTGATGCTTTTTAATTCATTTCACTGTAATTTTTTATTTGATTATTATAATGTTATAATCTTATGTATATAGTCTTTATCTAGTATGATCTTTTTTAGCCAATTTAATGTAGTTTTTTTTTTTTTTACTGTTTTTGATGTTTGATTTTGTGAGCTGCCCAGAATCACCCTTTGGGGGAGATTGGCTGCATATAAATTTAATAATAAACAAATAAATAAAATAATTATTATTTTACTTTATTGTTATTTTATTTTACTAGTGTGGCATACTTTAGGTTCTGTGCCCTTATATATGGTAATATTCTCTAAAGAAAGACAGGTTAAATATTTTTGAAGAATGATTGCTGCAAAAATGAAGATAACATATTGTTTAATGTATAGAGAGAGAAAATTTATCTAAGAGGTCATGAAGAATCAACACCATCTTGATGGCACATCAATCATACGGAGAGAAAGATAATCGTAAAAATGTAGTCAAAGAAAGCAAGGAATGGCTAAGACTGAAATAGGCAAAAAATGTAGATGGAAACAGAAAATGGCACATGATTCCATGCTGTTGGCTGAAACAAAGGACTGATGATATGAAAATTCATGTATCCAAGACCAAGGCTGTTATATTTAACAGGGATAGTGGAGTGAATATCTGAATGTTATACATATACAAATAAATGAATTTATACACTCCATTAATAGGAGAAAATGGATAGAGAAATTTTAAGACATGCAAATGATAGGATAGCATGTAGCCTGTGAATAAGGAATATCTGTCATAAGTAAAAATGACATTGTAAGAGTATGCTTCTACCCATTTTGTTATGTGGAAGTGAGACTTAGGTATGTTAGGAGACACAAAAGTAAGTTAAATGTAGTAGGAACAGTGTGATTCAACAACAAAAGATAGGATCAAGATAGAATAGGTGCTAAATAAATGTGGATTGAATACAAAAGCGAATGAGCAGTACAGAAGAGGTACAGTGAAACCTCGAGTTACGAATTTAATCCGTTCCGCGACTCTGGTTGCAACTCGAATTGGTCACAACACGAGGCAAATTTTCCCATAAGGTTCAATGTAATTACCGTTAACGTAAGTCGAGGCGAGTTCGCAAGTCGAGGTAAATTTTTGGGGCCAGAGCTGGTTGTATCTTGAAAAATTCGTAAGGAGGGGTGTTTGTAACTAGAGGTACCACTGTACTTTGAATTGCTTTGGTCATACAGACAAAATGAATGAGAACTGAAAAAGAAAACAGTATGAAGGAAAAGTGAATAGGTCAGACAAAGGGGAAGATCAAGAAAAGGAGAAAGTTGTAATTGGATTGAGCTGAGATCCTCAAAAAGAGAGACATCAGAAGTTGAAAGAACAAAAGGCAATGCATGAAGCAATGTATCAATATAGTGAAAACAATTATAGCCTGCAAGGACAGAGAGTTATGAATCTGATTAGTGAATGATATTGGTGTAAATGAGTGTTACCTATGTTTTTCTTATCTCAGGGCTTTAATTTCTTTGGTTCTGTATATCTTACTCCCTTTCTGATGTCTGCATAATGTTGCTTACTCCAACAAGCAATAGCATGATGGGTATCTATGGATGGATGGATAATTATAAAAAGATTTTTGATAAATCTGTGCAATAGCAATAGCAAAGCACAGGTGTTTTCTACTTAATTAAATGTCTCACGCTTTTTCATGATTAACATCTCGGAGTCTCCTTCCACTGAGATCTCTGCAAGCTTCTCGGTTTGTTGTCTTCTCAATTTGAGCACCAAGTGCTCGGAGCATAGATCCAAAACCTAAGGAGAAATTAAAATAGGTCAGCAACAAAAATCTAAGTATAAGAGACATCAACTCTTCAAGAGTCAGAATATAATGCAACACAATAATAAATCCTTTTATATATTATTTAGTCTGTTTTACCCAGACTCAGAAATCCTTCATTAGACAAAATCAGAGATACAGATTTAAATACATGGTAAGTTTTTAGCCATAGCCCCACTTCAGAGCTATACTTCAGATGATTCCAAATATTTCAGAACTGTGAAATAATTGCTAGAAAATAATTGGCAGTGGAAAGTTATAATGGCAAGATAGTCAAGATCAGACTGTCATCTTACCTTGTTTTCTTACTGTCACATTATCTCAAACTACTCAGGTTTTTTGTTTAGCATAAAAATATGGGCAGTAAATATATTTCCCTCTCCCCTTTTTATTTGACTATTTTCTTTCTTCTGCCCTTACTGCACTGATGCATTGTGTCTCCCACCCTGTATATATTGTACAGTATACAATATATTGGAGATTCTGAATTGTTCTTAATTCTGTAACCTTTAATTGGGAATCCACAATCTGAACAGGGATCTACTACTATATTCTTCATGGCCCGGTGCATCATGATTAAGATAAACAAGTTCAATATCAATCATGGAACTTCACTGGATGACTTTGAGTCAGTCACTATCTTTCAATCAAGCCTATTTCACATTATTGTTGATGTGGAAAAATTGGAGTTGTTACACCTGTCACCTATAAGAAAGGTGAGATATTCATCTAACAAAGAAATATACTATATTGTTTAGTATGCAAAAGCAGCAGTGAACCAACCTCCTTTTCCACCACATAACCTTGGTTCCACGCTGTAAACAGCTCCATTTTGTAGTACACCTTCAAAATTAATACATCTACCATTACACTTTATATAAAAGTGATCTTCAGGAAGCCCCTAAAAACAATGATATTTTAAAAAGGAAAAAGAGAATTATACTAAGATTAGAATATTTATTTCAATACATATTTCGTCTACAGCAAAGAGCAATTGCATTAATTTCAAACAGATTATTTAGACAGCACATTGGCAAATCACTAAACAGTAAAAGATGATTGTACAAAACCTAGTTCTTTATCTATGTAGGACACAGTAAACAAAGCATGTGTACACAAAGCCATGCTTCACAGATCATAAGAAGATGGGCAAAAAAACAACCATGTCACCATTAATGTCTGGAAATGAAACACTGTTCACTAACTGAACAGGAATTCAGACAAGATAAAAATGAAAGCAAGTTCCACCTAATTAATCAGCCGTAGCAGATCATTTTTTTCTAGTATAAACAACAGTTTTAAAAAAAAATCTTTACCCTATATAATCTTTGTAAGTTTTGCTAGTTTAAAGATCCACATCTCTGGAAATGTTAATATCACACAAACGTACATCCTTCACACAATCATACAAATTGTGGTTTGGATCACTGTTTGGGGAATAATTCTACTCTACTGGAAAATTAATAAGATACCAAACTACACAATTATGAAAGCATTCTAAGAATGTCTGTCTATCTATCTGAAGGAGATTTAAAGATTTCCTTTTTGGTTCAGGATTCACTATCCAGAGTCCATGGCAATTTAAGTTGAATAAACAACTTTTTAAAAAATTATATACAGGTAATCCCCAGGTTAAGAATGCCAGATTTAAGGACAACCCATAGTTAAGAACGGAGCCTACTGTAGCAAAATTTGAGTTAAATACACAATGATTCGAGTTATACACAATGGTTCAAGTTAATTACACAACACTACTTATACAGTATTATACAATAACACTGTTCCAGCTTACATACAAATTCAACTTAAAGACAGACCTTGGGAACAGAACTCATTCTTCAACTGGGAATTACCTGTATTTATTCTTTTAACTATCCACATTCTCAGGAAGAATGAGACAGAGAAAAAGCTACTAAAGTTATACAAAGGAAACACTATTTGACTAATCACATTTGCGACTAGAAGTACAGTCACTTACTGAATAAGGTTGTAAGTTATTTTTTAATCATACAAGCCACTTGGTAAACTTTCTGTTTAAAAGTAGCACTTGTTCAAATAAAGAAATTCCCATACTTGTTCCTCCTTTAGTCATTTCCTAATGACAACTTAAAATAATGACAATGAAAGGATTTCTTCTATTACCCTATACAATCTTGTGGCTTTTAACCTGCATTAGCTATTGAAACATGAAACTAGGCGACCCATCATTTTAGGTTAGCTAACAAAAGAAAACGTTCGAGTTTATGTATACAATCCATAAAAGTAGTATCACATCAACAATGTTTATTGTGGCCAGGGATTGAGAATACCTATATAAATCTGCCCATTACCTATATTACCTATTACCTATATGAATAAATAAATGCACACCAGGCTGGGGAAAGGTGATTTATGATCACCTTCAGCTCTGAAAGAGAAAACACAGAACTTTCTGCTCCCCCTAACTTGTTTATTCCAGCGACATTGAAAGAAACGAGAAACATTCCTTGTACAGTGGGGAGCCTACGCCACCGACTTCTTTCATATGAACTCATTTACCTGCGCCTGGCACCAGGAGCGGAGAAAATCTCGAACTGACCAGTCTTCAGCTGGCAACATCACAAATTGCACCTTCGAGCGCAAGGGATCCCTTACCAACACCGCCATTTTCTGACTTCCTGTAACGACACAAGCAAACTCCCTGCTTTCCGGCAAGACGCAAGAAAGGGAGGGCTTATTAGAACACCCAAGTGACGTCTACGAAGTAAACAGGAAGTAGGGCATAAGAAATTTTGCCAGCAGAAGAGTTCCGTTGCAGGTTCTCCTCCAGCCACGTGACAGGGAGCGATGGGGAATGTGCGCGCATGCGCAGAGACTTTCCGTGAATACCGCCTGAAGGAGGCTGATAAAGAGGGTGGGGGATGGGGGAAACTAACAGGGGAGGGGAGTGAATGGGTGGAATGGCGTTGCTGAGCGCCTGGAGGTACCGCTTTTCCTGCTTCATCGAGTTATTGCCCTTTTGAGATTAAAGCAGGATATTATCCGCCTGGTTTTTCTTGGCAGACTGTCGGGTCATCAACCTTCTCTGTTTACATTTCGTTGCTCCTCGAAGCTTCCATTGCTCTACAACGCACGGAAATTTCTTTGCGTTGCTTTATCAGCCAGAGGGCGGAAGGCGGGAAAGTCCCTCGGTGCTGTTACCGTCATGGACGTCTTGCTTCTTAAAAGTGACCAAGCTGAGGCTGAATTGAAAATGCAACCTAGTGCAGCAGCATTTGCAATTTGTCTTTCACTGGTTTCAGGCGCGGAAAATTGGGGCAGTTGTGATATTTATAAACCCGCAATGGAGCACTCTGCTCCTCCCTCCCCACCGCTCTGTGCCCACACACTTCATTGTGTTGTGTTGGTTTGCAAACGCCATATTCACTGCCAATGTCAGCTTGGGAGCAACGGTCTCAGCCTCTCAATCTCTTTTCAGGCGGTAGCATAGCAAATAAGGCTGCTCGTGTCACTCTGCCAATTGCAACGGCGACAAGAGGAACGATTGTGTTCGTCTCGGAGACCATGCATACAGTCTGCTGATTCGAAGCTGTCGGTGAGCTAGCTAGCCGCCTTTCCTGGAGAATGAGTTTAAACGCCAAGGCACGAAGAAGTAACTAAATAGGGGAAAGTACAACTCGAATTACACAGCGCTGCTAGCCAAGCTGAGGCTCCTTCATCCTATCAGTTTTCGTCAAAGGTTGCAAATCCCAAGTGTGTACATGCGCACAGCCTGGCCATTCAGCTTTTAAAAACAATGAAGCAGGGCACAAATGTGTGTAGTTTTACAGGACAGTGGAACAGTCTGCAGATAAAAGATCAACTCACTAATGACTACTTATGGTGAGGTGTGGTGGGTGTCCTCTCTGCAGTTAAAAGTTAATCTCAAAATAATGAATACTGGTGATGTTTGCTAAGTATGCAGAAACCATGATGCACATACTCAAAACAGCCAGTCTGAGGTAGTTGCCAAATATTACAGGAAAGATTCAAGTTCTAATGCTGAAAATATTTTTTAGAGTCAATCCACCCCAAAAAATCTGATCAAGAATAAACAATAAAAATGTCATATAAAATAAATGCTCCAAGTGTACATAAAGGCTCTGAAGACCTTGATCTACCATTAAGTTCATGTTATACCAGTGCTTATCATGATATGATTTTCTAAACAAATAGATGTTGTATACCTAATGAGAACAGTTGTAAAGTAGATATACCTTGAATTTGAATCCTTAAAAGGAGACATTAACTGAACTTAGATGCCATCTGAAACTGTAATGTGGTTTGTTTGATTTTGACTTAGTGCAATGTGTAAATGCAGTTGTGGTTTATAAATACATGATTTTATGCCTTAGCATTTTGTATGTGAGCTAGGCAACCATGGATTATTCAACAAACCATGATTTAATGTGATTTATTTATTTGTATGGTTGCCTGACTTGCAAAATGCAGCTCTGGGCAGCTAACATACGATTCAAAACAAGATAAATGTATGTAGCAGCCAATTACTCATTTCTTTTTTAAAAATTGAAAGAACTGGGGAACATGCCTCAGAACATCCCAAATTCAGTTGTATGAGAGGTGTCAAAGCTAATTGTACATGCTCAAGAGGACTACCTATTATTTGTTTGAGAGGTCAGTTTAATAAAATGTCGGGGGCTGGCTCTTCATTCTGTCTAGGGATTGGCATGCCATCTGGGTAATTTTTAATATCTATATATATAGATATATGTTTTATTATTTTATTATCTTATTGTAAGGCAGTGTTTCTCAGCCTCAGCAACTTTAAGCTGTATGGACTTCAACTCCCAGAATTCCCCAGCCAGCCAGAATTCTGGGAGTTGAAGTCCACCCAATTTAAAACTGAGGTTGAGAAACATTGTTGTAAGGTAAAACAGGACACCCTGTAAATAACTGCTGCTTTGTTCCAGCAACATCTGAAGTATAGAGAAAAAGCCTTCTTGGTAGCCTCATAGGACACTTCCACATCACTACTACTACTACTACTAGCCCTCTAAAGCAGTTTGAAGTTGACTGCAATAACTTATCCTAGTCTTCAAATGCTGAGTACCTGTAGAGATTACCAGGACCCAATTATGTTCCTTCCAGCTGACTAACTGGTGAGAGCAATCAGTGTCATGCTCATAGGTCTCAGAGTAACAAAACCTCATTCCCTCTCCACCAAAAAAGAAAATAAATTGCTAATGTCTCCACCTCTACCTAGCTATTATGAGAAGCTATGTGAGGGAAGATCATGTGTAAACTTCTGAACCATCTTTCCTCCCCTGCACTTAGAAGTCTTCTAAATGAGGAATCATTTAATAAAGATATAGCCTTACTATTTTTTTCTCAAATAATTGAGTTTTGGGTTTGCCTATCAGTTTAAAACATTCAAATCCTTTCTTGAAAAATTGCTCCAAGGAGTGTGTATCTATGCATGAAAGTATATATGTACATTAATACAATGGCTAATCAACAGTGTTGTGCAAAGTAGTTTCACCTACAAACTTTACAAACTGGTTTCTTGTAAGTTTGATGTGGAGAAGATAATTATATGACTACCTAAACATAATAATTGCACAGCTATATGCACCCTTAGTTACAATGATTTTTTTTGACAGGTGTCCACTAATACCTAAATGAAACCTTTTAAAATTCACCACACTGAACTGGCATAGACAAGTAAGGAATTATATATGATCCAATAAAAGGCCAAGGGTCAAGTTTAAGTATTTGCAGGATTCAAAAGGTGATCTAGCAGTTCTGAACTTCAGATTATACTATCATGCTAGCTGCCTAACATGAATTTCAGAATGGATTATATTTCCTTTTGGTTCCATTACTTCTGTGGAAAGGGCAGTTCTCTCAGAAGGATTGCACAGATACATTTGGATTGATACACATAAAAATAAACAATTCATAAGAGACTAAGCAATACCAAGTAATCCATTGGATGTTTGCAATAAATACAGGTGGTCCTCGCTTACCATCTGTCTTGTTTAGTGACTGAAGTTACAACAGTTAAAAGCTTTGCGACTAATTTACCACTATTGCAGCGTCCCATGGTCACATGATCGCTGTTTTTATTTATTTATTTTATTTATTAAATTTTTCAACCGCCCATCTCCCCCCAATGGGGGAACTCTGGGTGATTCACAACAAACATTAGAACATAAAATATATAAACACATAAAATCTTAATTTGAAACATTACTAAAAAGGAGAGACCAAGAGGATGGAAAATCTGAGGCTGAAGGCAGAAAACTCTATGGGGCTAGCCATCCCCATGCTTGAGGTATTCTCACCCCACCCCAGGCCAGGTGGCAGAACCAGGTCTTCAAAGCCTTACGGAAGGCCAGGAGTGTGGGGGCTAATAGCACTTCCGGAGGCAGGATGTTCCAAAGAGCAGGGGCTATCGCAGAGAAGGCCCGCCTTCTGGACCCTGCCAGTTGAAGTTCTTTCACTGAGGGGGTCCGAAGCATGCCCTCTCTGTGTGATCAGGTGGGACGGGTTGAAGTCATAGGGGAGAGGCGGTCCCTTAGATAACCTTGTCCCATGCCATGTAGGGCTTTAAAGGTGATAACCAACACTTTGAATTTGACCTGGAAGCAAAATGGCACCCAATGAAGCT